CCTCAGAGGATCTCAGATGATGCCAACCCTGAAACAACATAGAGAACTACCACATTTTGCTATAAGTTTGATTGCATCATATAATAATTGCTGTTAATATTATTCATTGTCTGTTTTATTACGTCTTAAATTGATTTTTCTGTACTGCTGGTTCGTCTGGTCACAGGAAAACTGGCCCCCCGACTGAGCCTGGTTTCTCCCAAGGTTTTTTCTCCATTCTGTCACCGATGGAGTTTTGGTTCCTTGCCGCTGTCGCCTCTGGCTTGCTTAGTTGGGGACACTTCATTTCCAGCGTTATCGTTGACATGATTGCAAAGATATTATTTAAACTGAGCTGGATGTTGCCATCACTGAATTCAATGATGAACTGTCTTTAACTGAAAAATGAGTGTTTACTATTGTCACTTTGCATTATTGACACTATTTTCCTAATTAATGCTGTTCAGTTGCTTTGTCACAATCTGTATTGTTAAAAGCGCTATATAAATAAAAGTGACTTGACTTGGTCATAGAATTTGCCCCTCTATCAGTACTGCCTTTGATTTCAGGTCTGCTTGTGCTCCTTATGCTCTGTTCTGTGGGTCCTCTAAGGTCTGTCCACTCACCTGGTCTTCCAGGGGCTTTTATCAACTGGCATGCTAAGATGTTGCAGATCTGTTGCCTCTCCAGATGCTCGTCATATGGCTGGAACTTCTAATTCCTCCTTGCTGCTATCTCTCTGGAAGGCTGGCGCCTCCTGCTTGGAATATCCTCCAGGTCTACTGACTCGACATTGGCTCACAACTGTCAAACCGAACTTGGCACTTTACATTTCCTCCCTTGAGCTCGTTCTACCAGTGGTTCCTGGACATTCTAGTGTTCAACCCAGTGCAGCCCGTCCTTCTGTTTGTTTGCAGAGTCTGCTTGTCTGGTATGACTACAGAGTAGTAACTTGCAACACTTATCTGTAGTGATGTCCCTGTGCAGTTGTGTTGCTTAATAACTTTTAAAATGTAAGTAATTTTTGAATAAAATTTGTAATTTTAATGAATAAAAGTTATTATTTTAAAAATTTTTTTAGGGTGAACAATCTGTCTAGGGTTGAGTTAGGGTTGAGTTAGGGTT